GTCCGAGGAGAACTCACCACCTCTGTCAGAGTGCAGACGCAGGACAGGAAAGTTCGACTGGAACCGCTCGCGGAGCTGGAGACGAGTAGCACGGATCCAGGGGATCAAAACATCAAGGACATCCCCCTTGCGCTGCAAGGGAAGACCGTGGTGTAGCGCGTGTAGTCGTCGACAACCAGCAGGAAGTACCGCTCGTGGCCCTGTCCACGGACGCGGGCTGGGCCCCACACGTCCAGGTGGAGATTCTGCAGTGGAGCCTCTGTGGGAGGGAACGAGGAGGAGTGAGGAGCGGCGCGCTGCCGCCCCTCGACGCAAGGAATGCAGGGCGGCGCAGGCGAGGGAGGGAGGGCAGGCAGAGACCTGGGAAGACCAGAAACCAGAAAGCGAGAGTGCATGCTATGAAGGCGAGGCAGGGAGGGGTGGCCCAGGCGGTGGTGACACAGGAGGGTGTCGTGAGACAGCCGGCGACACTCACACTGGGTAGCTACCTGACCAGACGCGTGCAGCTGGGGAGACAAAGGGGTGGAGCGTGACTCAGTGGTGAGGGTGTACAGACTGGACCCTGGCGCACGGGTGAACGTGGCCAGGTGGCGGCCAGTCTGGGAGCACGTGCAGATCGCCACACGCTGTCGGCCAGGGGTGAAGGTGTCAACACCCGCATCCTGGAGGACAGCGTTGCTCACCAAGTTCGTAGAGAACGAGGGGAGGTGGAGACCAGACAGCTCACCAGACGGGACCGCCGGACACGGAAGCACAGTGGAAGACCGTGCAAGCACTGGGGCCCCAGAGGGGTCAGCTAGTGAGTCAGGAACAGGTACAGGGAGGGGAGTGACTGTGGTACTGTCGCGAAAGAAACAGCGGGAAGCACCAGAGTCAAGTGTAAAGGTGTGCAAGGCCTGTGCAGGCGCAGTACCAAGGGGAGCAGACTCACAAGCACCTAGTGCTGCAGGGGCTATACCAGGGGCTATACCAGGATCCGGCGGCACACACAAGTAGCAGTCACCCTCAGCACTAACAGACAATGCATACATAGCAGCAAGAATAGCCTCATAGTCAAGATCAAAGATTGGTACATCACGCCTAAGCAAGTCTGCCCAGTTGGGGAAGTCAGTAGCATCAGGAAACTTGGCGCGCCAGGCGTCGCTAAGTCGAGCGAAGCAGCACTGCTCAGTGTGAAACCCTGTGCACTGGCGATTAGCGCGGGGACCTGTGCGGATGATATAGGGGCAGCGACCAGGACCCCCAGAAGCCCCACGCCCGGCATACCAGTCAAGAAGCTGCTGGGAAGTGGGGGTCTGGCGCTGACGCTGCTGCTGCTGCTGCGGCTACTGCTGGCCCTGACCACCACTGCCACCACCGCTCCCTCCTCCCCCACCGCCGCTGCTGCCCCCTCCACCGCCCCCAGTGCCTCCGCCGCCCCCACCACCACCTCCACCACCTCCACCCCCACGACCACCCCCACCACCTCCACCGCCCCCGCCGCCTGCACCACCGCCACCTCCACCGCCGCCCCCACCTGCCCTGCCACCCTTGCCGCCCCTGCCGCTGCGACGTTTCCCACTAGGAGCGGAAGCAGCCCCGACCTCCTCAGCACCAAGGTAGTCGTGAGCAGCAGCTGCGGAGGCGTAGGAGGGGGTGAGAGGGGAGGGGGAGCACCCCTCAAAGAGGGGAGAACGCGGAGTACCATGAGCAGCACCAACAGCAAGAATGTTCTTCTCTGCTGCTAGGAGGTGCTTCTCGAAGTCGTCGACAGTGAGAGTAAGGGGGTCAAGCGCTAGGAAGTGGTCCCTGACCGAGCTAAGAGTGTCAGGGAGGCGGGTGACGAGGAAATAGAGAGTGAAGTACATCGGGGGGGGGGGGGGGGGTTTGCGGCGCAGAACTCGGCTGAAAGGGTGGCACGAAAGCGGGTGTCAGTAGCGCGCAGGTGAGAAATGAGGTCCTCAGCAGTGGTGAACGAGGAAAGGTCGGGGAACAGGTAGGGTAGCATGAGCCGACCTATGGCTGCAGTGGCCGGGGACGAGTAGCGCGCAACTACAGCGTCGTACAGTGTCTTAGCAGTTTTGTGCTGGCTGAAATGCGCTCCCTCAGGAATCGGCAGATGGTTCCTAATAGCTAGGCGTGCTGCCGCATTGCCAGTCTGCCACTGTGAGCGTTCGAGAGCAGGAGCATCGGCAGCAGGAGCAACGGCAGTGCCAGAGATGTAATCGAACAGTGAGACACCCTCTTTAGCATCAGTCAGAAGGAACAGTTGCAGGTCGTCGAGCCACACTGCGAACTCTATGGGGCGACCGTCAGGCTCGAACGCAAGAACATTAGGCGTCGTCATATCGGCCGCAGGCAAAGGCAGAGACAGCAGGCAGTAGACAGGAGGCAGCAGGCAGTAGACAGGAGGCAGCAGGTAGTAGACCGCAGGCTCAGACAGAGGCAGTAGGCAGTAGGCAACACAGGCAACGTGCTGGGCAGTAGCAGGCCGCAATCGAGCTCCTAAGGTGGCGCTCTATACAGTAGCAGGCCGTGCAACCCTAAGGCTCGAACCCATATGTTTGACAGCTGAGCTTCTTGACTTTGCTGCTGCCTGTCGTCTCGACTACGCCGCTAGTCTTGCTGCTGAGTCTGAGTCTGTCTGTCCTCCGTCCGTCGGGGGTGAGTGTGCTCTTGGCACGGACGTCCTTGAGGACAGGCAGGACTTTGAGTATTTTGCAGCTGCTGTACCTCATCTCGTGTCCATGTTGATTGCACCTGAGGGAGACCCGGATGCACCAGACATCCCGACCCCGAGCTCTTACCCTGAGGCGATTGAGGGTCCCTACTCCTCTCAGTGGCAGTCAGCCATGGACGCAGAGATGGCTTCCTGGAAGTCCACAGGCACTTACGTCGACGACGTTCCCCCACCTGGGGCGAACATCGTCGGTGGCATGTGGATTTTCAGGGTGAAGCGGTCGCCAGGTTCTCCGCCTGTTTTCAATGCGCGTTACGTTGCACGAGGCTTCAGTCAGCGACAGGGAGTTGACTTCTTCCAGACCTTCTCCCCTACCCCGAAGATGACCACTCTTTGGGTTCTGCTGCACGTCGCCGCTCAGCGTGACTACGGGCTTCACTCGCTTGACTTCAGCACAGCTTTCTTGCAGGGCAGCCTGCACAAGGAGATGTGGCTGCGCCACCCACCTGGCTTCACTGGGTCGTTTCCTGCAGGTACCCAGTGGAGCCTCCGGTGGCCAGTCTACGGTCTCCGCCAGGCGCCTCGCGAGTGGCACAACACACTGAGGGCGGCTCTCGGGTTTGCTCCTTCCACTGCTGACCCGTCGCTGTTTCTGCGCACCGACACTTCACTGCCGCCGTTCTACATCCTCGTGTACGTCGACGACTTGGTCTTTGCCACTACTGACACTGAAGGACTCGCCCACGTGAAGTCAGAGCTGCAGAAGAGACACACGTGCACGGACCTGGGAGAGCTGCGCAGCTATCTTGGCTTGCAGATCACCCGACACAGAGCACGGCGCACCATCACCCTGACTCAGTCACACATGGTGCAGCAGGTCCTTCAGCGCTTCCGCTTCACGTACTCCTTGCCACAGTCCACTCCTCTGCCTACCGGTCACTCGCTCTCAGCTCTGCCTTCGGATGAGTCCGTAGAGCCGAGTGGCCCGTATCCAGAGCTTGTGGGCTGCCTCATGTACCTAATGACTTGCACTCGACCTGACCTTGCTTACCCTCTTAGCATCCTGGCACGCTACGTTGCGCCCGGGAGACACCGACCAGAGCACTGGGAGGCCGCTAAGAGGGTGTTGCGCTACTTGTGCAATACGTCGGGCATGGGGCTCGTGCTTGGAGGACGGGCTCGAGTCGTCCTCACTGGTCACATAGACGCTTCTTGGGTTGACGACTTGGCTACGCAGTGGTCGTCACAGGGTTACACCTTCAGCCTTGGCTCCGGTTCTGTTTCTTGGCGGTCTACGCGCTCGTCTTCTGTTCTCAGTTCCAGTTGTGAGGCTGAGATCTACGCAGGGGCCATGGCTGCACAGGAGCTACACTGGCTCACCTACCTGCTGACCAACTTTGGCGAGCCGCCTCGTTCTCCTCCAGTTCTTGTACATCGACAACAAGGCCATGATTGCCTTGTGTCAGGAGCACAGACTGGAGCACAGGACAAAGCACATCGCTCTGCGTTTCTTCCTTGCTCGAGAGTTGCCAGCATGGACAGCTTCGTCTTGCTTATGTGGCCTCTCGGGCCAACACTGCTGATATCTTCACCAAGGCACTTCAGCCTTCTGATCATCAGCGTTTCTATACTGTTCTAGGACTTGTGCCTACTTGGCCTGACTTGCTCACTTGACTTTGTTGTACTGTGATCTATATGCTTATACCTGCATGCTTGCACTTGCTAGGTTGTGATCACTGTATTGCTTGTTCTGCTTTATATAACTCTGCATGTGAACTGGCCCTGTGGCCATTTGCTTGTGCTCAGAGTGTGTGGTGACTTCATGATCCACCCTGAGCTTGCTTTGCTTTTCTTGACTAGTCTTGTGACCCCTTGTTCTCCCCCACTTTGCCTATGGGGGTGTGTCAAACTCATATGCTACGTGTAGGCTGTAGTGGGGTAGCCCATATGGGGTACAACCCAATTAGGGTTAGTACTTGTACCCATCCTGCTGCTGGTTCATTCATCCCTGCTGTTAGTTCTTGACAGATAATATCTCAAAATGAGATAGAATTCCCAAAACTTGGAAATCTTGTAACTTGGGCGATCTTGGTCGGAATAAGGCGATCTTCGTATCGTTGGAAAGCTCTGGATTTCTCCTGCATGGTCAAGCATGTAGACTTGGAGAATAAACACAGAGATGATAATATCCAACAGCCATGCACAATGACATATGCTCATGCAAATCATGCAAGCACAAATAGCACGAGCACTCGGCATGACGTTAGGATGACATGCTTTCAGAATGATTTGCATCCAACAATGTGCTTATTTCCTCCCCTTCTCCCTCCCATTGCCCCACATGCTCCCTCTCATTTCCCCTTTGTCTCCCTCTCACTCAACCCCCCTGCGGGGTTCTCATATCCACCCGTTTCTTGTTCCCCTCCCCCGCTTTATCCCGCTCATTGCCCTCCCTTCTCCTTCTCATTTCCCCCCCGTTCTCCCCCTCATTCCCCCGTTCTCCCCCTCATTCCCCCGTGCTCCCCCATCGCATACCCTTCTAACCCCTGCCGTACCCTCCGTCACACACGCCCCCTCCTCTAGGGCGCCCACGCTCACTCCTCTGCCACCCACGCACAATCCCTTCCGTGCTGTTTAGTAACAGCAGCCCCCGTCCTCTCCCACATTGCAACCCTAAACTCCATCTACCCTCTGCTTCCCCTCTGTCTCCTCCCTTCTTCCCCCTTTTTGCGTTCACTGTCTTACAACCTTCTCCCCCCTCTCCCCTCTCTGCCTTACACTCTTCTTACCCCTTACCCCTCTCTTCCGTACACCATTCTACCCCCACCTTGCGTTCTCTGCCTTACGCCCTGCTTCCCCCTTTGGCCTCTCTCTTCCCTACACCCTTCTTCCCCATCTCCCCTCGCTTCCCTACTCCCTTCCACCCCCTTTCCCCTCTCCTAGTTACACCCTTCTTCCCCCACAATGCCGGCTCTGTCTTACACCGTGCTTCCCCCTTGTTCCTCTATTCCTTGCACCTATCTTCCCCCTTTCCCCTCTCTGTCTTACACCCATTCCCCCCCCATTCCCTCTCATCCTTACACCCTTCTTCCCCCACCATAAGGTCTCTGCGTTATGCCCTTCTTCCCCCTTTCCCCATTCTCTGCCTTTCACCCTTTTTCCCCCTTTGCCCACTCTGCTTTACCCCCTTCTTCCACGTTTCCACCCTCGGTGCCTTACGCCCTGCTTCCGCCTTTACCCTCTCGTCCCTACACCCTTCATCCCCCTCTCCGCTCTCTGCCTTACACCCTTCTACCCCCTTTCCCCCCTCTGCGTTACGCCCTTCTTCCCCCCTTTCCCCTATCTGTCTTACACCCCTCTTGCTCTATTCTCGACTTTGCCTTACCCCCTTCTACCGCCTTTCCACCCCCTCTGCCTTATGCCCTTCCAACCTTCCCTCTCTCTTCCCTACACCATTCTTTCCCCTCTCCCCTCTCTGCCTTACTCCCCCCTTTCCTCTCTCTTCCCTACTCCCTTCCACCCCCTTTCCCCTCTCCTCGTTACCCCCTTCTTCCCCCACAATGCGTTCTCTGTCGTAACCCCCTTCTTCCACGTTTCCACCCTCGGTGCCTTACGCCCTGCTTCCCCCTTTACCCTCGCGTCCCTACACCCTTCATCCCCCTCTCCGCTCTCTGCCTTACACCCTTCTACCCCCTTTCCCCTCTCTGTCTTACACCCCTCTTGATCTATTCTCCACTCTGCCTTACACCCTTCTTCCACCTTTCCCTTCTCTACCCCACACCCTTCTTCCCCCACCATGCGTTCTCCCCCTAATTTCCTGCTAAACCCCGAACCCTCTCTTCCCTACACCCTGCTTCCCCCTCTCTCTTCTCTGCCTTACGCCCTGCTTTCCCCTTTCCCCTATCTTCCCTACACCCTTCTTCCCTCTTTCTACCTGCTCTGCCTTACAATTTTTATCTCCCTTTCCCTCTCTGGCATTCACCCTGTTTCTCCCGTACACCTCTCTTCCGTACCCCCTTCTGCCCCCACCTTGTGTCCTCTGTTTTACGCCCTGCTTCCCCCTGTCCCCTCTCTGTCGTACGCTCTTTTCCCCCCCTCCCCACTCTGCTTTACCCCTTTCTTCCACGTTTCCACCCTCGGTGCTTTACGTCCTGCTTCCCTTTTCCCCTATCTTCCCTACACCCTCTTCCCCTTTTCCCCACCCTCCGTTGCCTCCTTCTTCCGCCTTTCCACCATCTCTGCCTTACACCCTACTCCCGCCTTTCCCCTTCCTGCCCCTCTGCGCCTTCATCCCAGGTGCGCCCTCCCCTCTGCGCCTTCATCCCAAGTGCGCCCTCCTCTCTGCGCCTTCATCCCAGGGGTGCCCTCCTCTCTACGCCTTCAACCCAGATGCGCCCTCCTCTCTGCGCCTTCATCCCAGTCCTTGTCATATCCCTACTCTTGCTCATATCTTATCCCCTCTCTCTGTCCAGGCCTATTCCCACTCTTTGCCGTGTCCTACACCCTCTCCCTCTCTTAGCCTGTCCCACTTCACTACACATAAGTCTCCCCCGTGCTAGGCACTGTCCGTTTCCCATTCTTTGTTCTGTTCCACCATATAATCTGATTTTTGGTGGATGATCCTGTTCCCCTTACGATGCTCGCTCTCTTCCCCGCCTTTCCGTACTTTGTCAGCAACTCTTTCCACCCAATCTGGAGTGTGGAGCAAATGACACCTCAACAAGGCACGGGCAGTGGCACGGCCAAGCGCATCCGGACTGGACGGCCTGCTAGGTAACCCATTCTCTCTGTGATTATTACGCATTCAGCTCATAATCCCATGCAGCACATCCAGAAAGTGCAAGTTACATGTTTTGCCTCTCTAAGTGATGCGTGTCAATATTTTTGGCAGGCCACGCTGTAGGGCGCTCATGCGTCGCCAGCCAGAAGGGGTACGCATGGTTTCGCAGGATGATATTGAAGAGAACAAAGACGGGAGCCAGCGTGGAAGTGCACATGAAGCATTAGCAGTGGCTATTCGAACAAGCAGTGTACGGAGCACACCGACGCCTAGGACCGCTCGACGCATCCGTGTTCGCTCCGGTCTACCCCCGATTATTAGCAATCCGTTGTTTTGATGGTCGATCCATGAATTTGCAATGCGATTCCCAAAACAGCATGATGTGCTACGCAAGTGGGCGGCAGGATGGCTAGCATTTCCCTCTGAAGATAATGTGGATCGTTTTGTAACAACGTACAGTGGAAAGCGTGATACGAGTAGCTTGTGGCGCAAACCTCGAGGTGGGCGTGGACGACGTGCCGGTGGAGCCGAAGAACCACCGATTCCGCTGTTACGTGGAGTATTCTGACTTGTTGGGGGACGAATCTAATGACGAGGTGGTTCTACCATGGCTGATATACGTAGTAATTGCTTCGTTGTACCCAAAGCCGGACACAGAGGGGTATTACGTGCGATGTGACAAGGACGGCGTGGTGTGGTTCAATGACCGTGACAAGATGGTGCCCGATGTGATTGACTTTGAATGTGATGGGATTGTTGGGTTCATGGGTAGTCATTGTGGTGATAGCCAGTAAACGCATGATAGTTACCTCGACAAACAAGTTTGTTTTCGAGACCTAGTGACCATAACGAGCATTCACATGCCCTACACACTCGCATGCCATTGACGGTTGACAGATAGGCTGAAAAAAAGTAGGCATGGGGAGACATAGCGTCTTCGAACCACCTATGGGCTCTACATGGCTTGGTGCTAACGTGTCAGTTACGTTTGTCTTTTTAAATTTCATTGTAAAGGTAGCTAACGGGCGGGCAAAGATGCAGGGTTGAAAGAGGGTTCCTGCAAACCTGAAAACCATCAGAGAGCGCTGGGTCAAGACATGGGTGGGAGGGGATAAAGGGCGAAAAGGGAGAGGGGGAATGGTGGTTGAAGTAGGGATATGCGCGAGGAAGGCCAGAGCAAAACGTTTGGGTAGAGGAAGAATATTGGAAGGCAATCACGGTACATTGATACATCACACTTCGAGCCTCTGTAATTGAGAAGAAAGAAACGTGGATGAGGTGCCTTGGGATGCACTTTAGGGGAAGTGAGGCAAGAGTGCAAGAAGAAAAGACACGGAGACGGGGGACCATAAGGAATGAATGGGGGGCTGGAAGTGGTGTTAGGTGGCGTGGTGGTGCGGCAAAACTTGATGGTGTCGGTGCTGCTGGATGGGGCATGAGGGGGAGGGTGAGACTCTGTCAATAAGAAGGCGAGGGGAGAAAACATCAGCTCTGCGCCTTCATCCCAGGATCACCCTCCACTTAGGAGTGGTGTGGGGGGTGGAAGGCAAGGTGCCGAGCAGGAGGAGCAAGGGAGGCAAGAAGGCGCAGCAGGCAGCAGGCAATGCAACCATTCAGACATGAGCTGAGGGGCAGTGCGACCCACCAAGCAGGAGCAGGAGGCGTCGATGGGGCGGTGGTCACGGGCCATGGCGGCATGCTTGAGTTTCAACACGCCCTCCGGTATCAGGGCCGTGCCGAAACGGGCCGAGCACGTGGGGTAGACACAGTCGTACATGTCTGCTTCCTGGGCAGAGCCCACCAATGGCGTACCTGCAAGTGAGAAATGGTGCAGAGTAGAGCCCAATGTTGCATGCTGCCCACCAGGTTGAATCATCTGACGTTGGAGACGTCTCCTGCAAACAACACAAATGGAGGTCAATGGTTACAACTGCATGTAAAATGCACACTCACAACATTGCAAATGTACTATCTACTTGCATGTATAATGCACCAAATTGAGCGTTCGTGACATATGGGGGGACTTACCAAAGAGTGTACATCGAGGTTCAGATGATCCACTTGTGATGATACGCCTTCGCTTGCTGGGTGGCTGGGGAGTGGAAGGAGCAGCAGCACTGGCGTTGGCTCCGATTGGACTCGTCACAGGGTCAAGTGTCATGCAATTCCAATCTCGCATTATGTCGTCTACCCAGGTCCAATCCATAGGCCCTAAGGTCCGAGAGGTCTTACCTCCCTAGTTGCACCCTAGCTGCACGCTGCATTCTAATTTTGGTGGCTTGGACCTCTCGCTCCAAAGAATGATTCCAGTGCATGACAGGCAATCCAACCCTTGCGTGCATGCTTCCGCGAAACAAGGTGCGCTTCGGAACGTACTTGCAAATCAATGAATGAAATGACTCATTCATCCAATTGCACTCCCCACTCACGTAGGGTTTCATCTCGTCGGGCCCACAGTTCTTGCTCAACCACTTCTTGAAATCAATGTGCGTGCAGGAACCAGGCTTATACAATGCGCTTTCAGCACCCCAATTCTCTCTCACGCATATTGGCCTCTCCGAACCCCGCCCACAGCGTGAATGATCTCCAGCCCAATGGTCGGCCGCAATAGCAATCTCCTCAACAACGTCATGAGCCGACATCGGCGTGCCCGCTCGCCAGAGTGTAGCACAACGAGCAATCACATGATGGAAGTGTACGTTGAATCGCTGTGCAACTGTCATCTCCTCGATTACCCCTCCCTGATCCTCGCCATCTTCCTCAAGCGAATTATCTGCTCCCCTCTTCCCACTACGAGGTCGCTTATTCACCCAGCGTCGTGGTAGACTGGACGGCGTAGTGTTGCCCTCCCCTCCCACCGTGGTGCTGTCACCATTTGTACCTTTGGAAACAATTGATTCGGGATGGGGGTTTTGATATTATTTATTCAACGCAGAGGCACACAAATTGTATCCAAGTAGAGCCGTGGATGTAAGCAAAGCGAAATACAAATACATCAAGTAGTTGTTTTGCTCGGGCCTCACCTGGCGGTCCCGAAGTTGAGCTGGTTCGTGTCGCGGCACCCGTCATGCCACGAGTTGCATCGGCATGGTTTGACGCAGCTGCCTGCATGAGGAAGAACGACACCACAGAGCTTGGCCGCACTCCATGCTCTGGATGGGGATCGTATCCCCACAACTCTCCCACGTCGGAGTACTGATAATCCGGCCCTCCTGCTCAGGGTTGAGAAGTAGTGAACTCTGAATGTTCAGGGTCGAGAATTGAAAATCAGAGTCGTAGTAACTTGTTCTTTCTTTACCGGGGAAAGAAGTCTCACTCTGCATAATCGCAACATCTGCTCGAAATCTGACAATCTTAGGGATTTCAGGCAGAATTTGCCTTGGCCTAGCGAATCGAATCTGCTAATACAGAGCAAAGGTCGAATCTGCTGTTGGTGTCGCAATGGTGACTGTGAATGGCGCTGTAACTGGCGCTGTGACTTGCGATGTGCCTGGCGATGTGACTGGCGCTGTGACTCGCGATGTGACTGGCGTTATGTCAGAGCACAACTATTTCGACCAATAACAGCAAACTAGATCTAACATTACAGATTCGCCCGAACTCGATGGTGGTGGGGGTGTATGGGAATGAAAATTCGAAGAAACTTCGTCCCGATAAAGCGAGGGGTGGAGGGGGGGAGGGGGGGGGGGGGGGGGGGGGGGGGGAATTACGCACGTGGGGGGTACTGCGATCAATCCAAAGTCGGGATTATCATGAGAACAATTCTGAGAAACTTCGTCCGATAACATCGCATTGAGGGTCCACAGGCCGCGTACTCTGTATTGACAGGGTCTGTGAAAACACTACACTAAGAGTGTATACAAAATTTCACGGTCCGCTAAAGCAGTACCCTGAATGGATCAGGGACCAAAATGTGAAAAACCTTATTTCTCAGAGACCAGAAAGTGACAAGTCTGAAATCACCCTGAAATCAAGGTAATTACCCTGATAAAATCAGCCCTAGGTACCTCTCCACGGAACCCAGTTACACCGC